ACTACATCAAATGTAAATAATCACAATAAACAATCTTTGCAAATAACAATAGCGCACATTTTAATTGACATCATTTACAAGTGTACGTAAGTACATACATTTACATCAAAGAGACATAATGTACGTAAATTATTAGGGCAAATCGATTGATATGTGAAAAAAGTTTACACCGTGCGACAGTCAATTTTACACAGGAAAAAATCAATATATTCACAAAACGTGGGGGCCAAATATAGTAAAACTGCGTTTTTAGATTTTCTCTTCGACGTCAGGGTTTTGTTTTTTTTTAAGGACTTATATAGAGGGAAAATATTTTTTTATTATTTTTGTTTGTGTATATAAAAAAAAATTGATTAAAGAAAGTATAAGTCTTCTGATATCCTTTACAACTATACCAATTTTCTGTCTTATAAAATATGCGGGTAAATAAAAAATTTATTTCGGTATTTTCTTGTAGGAATAAATTGGCGTAAGTATTTTGAAAATTGAAATTTGTTTGAGATAAAAAAAAATGAATTTACGTACCTATAAAACTTTTGAACTCCAGATTCAAACCAAAAACTGCAATAACTTGTACAGTCACTAGAATGAGCTGGCTTCAGAAAAATACCTAATGGCGAATTTCCACTACACTGAGCCAAAACCACAATGGTTTTTGCAACCAAGTTATTGTTTGATTATTTATTTGTTGGCTACAAGCAGGTTCGGGTTCAAATGTCGTCAGAGAAGACATTTTTTTTTTTTCTTAATTACGAAAAAACATCCTTGAAGTGGACAACCGACTGCAAGTTTTTCCAAGTGGACCTCCTTCATCTTGCTTCACGGTCTGCCAACAGTCTAGATTCGATTCACTGCGTCATTCAGCCGTTTGAAAATCTTATACGGACCTTTCCAGTTACTTGGTTTTTTGGAGGTGAAGCCTTACTTCCACTGAAGCTTGTACAACAACGCACACACACAAACACCAAATCGCCTTCCTTGAAACCCTCTCGGCTCCATGCGCTATTGGACATGCTTCCGGCTTATCTCCGGGAGTGCACCATCTTGCATGGTCGCGCTTCTGCCGGGCCCTGGTGGTGACCAGACTATGCTTCTTCTCATGGGCTCCCTATTCTCCGGATTTACGCGGCTTCCTCTGGCCATGACTACCAGGCTTCGATCCTTGCTAAATCCGCATCCTCACGCTGAAACTTGCCCAGTGTTTGCGCATCTCGCCCATCCGCCGACGTCAACTTCATTGAAGAAGCTTCAGGCTCTAATGCCTTGCCTTTGCATCCTCTTCCGACCACGACCTTTTTCCTGGATACTTCAAAGCGCGCTCAGTGCTTCCACAGCCGCTTCAGTGGCTTTCCTTCTGCCGGAAACACTGCCTGGCTTGCCATGACCGCTTCCTTGGTGTGACTTCCTCTTCGTCACTGAGCTGGCGGAACCGTCACGCTTTTTCTGTATCGGTGAACCGCTTCCTTCTTTTGACGAAACCTCTCCGTCTCCATCACTGCCAACCTCTGCCCAACTAACCGCTTCCGTCGCTGGTGGAATCTTTGGGGCTTCCTCTAAGATCAACCGTCTGCTGCAGTACTGGTTTCCGTGACCAACCTTAAGTGACGCTATTCTGTCGCGATCGGTTAGAATCATTCCTTAGAGGTCAATCTTCATGCCTTGGCCAAGTAGGAATTCCACGCCGATGATGACTTCATCCACAATGTCTGCCACTATAAACTTGGATGTACGAGGCCACGCCCCCGATAATTACCTCGCATAGTATTTTTCCTATCCCTTGGGTGCGCTTACCAGTTGCTGTCTGCAGCTTTGCTCCAGGTAGTGGCTTCACATACCAAGTGGCCAAATCGGGTCGAATCCACCAACAGTAAGGTTGCTCGCTTTTCTGCCAATTCGCGAGACGGAAATTATGCTGGCTCGTTTTAGTTTAATGACTGATCGGAGTTGGGCTCGTCCTCCTCAGCCCTGCGTTTACGTATTGCTGAACTGTTAGACCTGCTGGTTTTCTACAACTCAGGCATTTTCCAGCAGCATCCTTTCTCTCGGTTGCAGCAGGAGTGTTTTTCCCTGCCATCGGCTTGAGTGTTTTCAGGATCTCGTTCACCACGTCAGGTGGAGACCACTTCTACTCGAAGGGCTTTGTAGGCTGGTTTACTTAGCCTGGTTGAGCGCCTCCGATTCACGTGTCTGAGCATAGGAGACAGTTTCACCAAATGTTGGCTTTGGATTCGCACACGTCTCTCGCTTGGTATACATTTCCCGCATTCTGCTGATGAATCTCTGAATTTTTAACCGTTAGAGGTGCTCACCAGATGCGTCCCCAATTGCCAAGTGGGCTAATCTCTCTATCTCTGAGGCGAATTCCTGTAGAGTCTCGTTGGATTTTTGGCAGTGATTCTCCAGTTCCATCTGGTAAATCTGCTTCCTGTGCTCGCTGCCATAACGTCTTTCCACGGACCAGTTCAATGCATCGTAATTGTTCCTTTCACAGTCAGGAATAGTCTGCAAGATTTCCACTGCAGGTCCTCTCAATGTAACGAATAGTGCAGCGGATTTGTCCTCCATGCTCCAATGGTATGCTATAGCTGTCTTCTCGGACTGGAGCTTAAATACCTGAAAAGGAATCGTGTTGTCAAAAGATGGAGTCTTCACCTTGGGAGCGTTCGTCGAAGTAGTTGGACGATTCAACTGCATATCACGAAGACGATCTTCCAACTCGTTCATCTTAGCCTGGACTTTGTCCCGTTTCTTCTTAATAAGCGCTTCGATTTTATCCCGTTTTCCTTCGATTTTGTCCTGTCTTTCTTTGAGTTGCGTGTTGTCTCTTACTAAACACTCCTGAAGCTGCGTGATCTTTCCATCCAGCTACGATGGCATGTATGTTTTTTGTGCTTCCAGCTGGGATGAAACCATCTCTGAAATCTACTATGACATCTGTGACATGGCGGCCAATAACATGTTCATGTCCATAACTGTTGATGAACCTAGAGCCTTTTGCTGTTCTTCAACCTTCCTTGCTGTCAACATTTGACATTTAAAAAATATATAAAAATAGGCAATAATATTTCTCATAAAAACGAATACAATTAGGGTCTTGAAATATAAAAAAAAAGCATTTTCGATGGGCACCCTAATGTACATACTATATGCAAACACTTACGTCTATGAGATAATTAAAAAACTCATTGATTATCACCACAAGTTAGTTGGCGTGGTGCCATTGCTATTGCTCGTGATCTGTCACTCATCGCATTAATACATACGTACACACATCAAGTGTTTACTGTTTATAGCACTCAACTTTCAACGATTGTCTGTCCTTTGGCAAGCGCCCTGCTTTAGGCATCACTTAAACTTGGTTTTCGAGATAACAGAAGCTAAGCTGTCTGACCAAGATGTGCTATAATTTCTCTGTTGCTACTTTTAACAAATATGCATATATGTACGTATGTGCATTAGGGTGGTTAAAAACAATGCATGTGAAAAATAAAGTCCGAATTTTAATGCTCTCACCCTCTGAGATTGTTCTATATCGAAAAAATGTAGATACTCCTGTTTTTTTTTATTTCGAAATGAAACAATTTTTTGCAGGTGCCCAAAACGCTCAAAGTTGTCTAAGTAATTTATATAGAAAAAACAAGTTTTCGTGGAAATAGTATAGAATTATTGAAAATCAATATTTTTTGGTCGGTAAACCCTGTTTCTCTTCAGGAGACTTACAATAATAAAACCCAATTGTTTATTGAACCATTTTTTATAGGTCTCTCATTGCATTTTTTGGGGTTTTTGTGGCAGTATTTTTTTATTTCAAAATAAATAAGTTAATAGGAAAAATATATTTTCAAAACAAGTTGTATAAGTGTGAACCAAATCGGACCATAAATACGGGATTCCCAAATACCTCGACTACTGCGTCACCTAGCGAATTATTTCATTTTGCATGCATTGTCATGGGGCTATGAGCTAAGTTTGAACTTTCAAGTCTCTACCGGATCGGGAAGTTATTGAAATATTGATTGTAAAATTCCAGGGCCTACATACATATGTACATGGGCAATTTAAGGCAGAGATTCATGAAAGCGGAAAAACCAAAATGTTATAATTAAGTTAGTAATAGTAAAGTTTTTATAATACCGTATTGAACCGTATTGAAAATATGTCAAAACACTTTAATCATTACCCCTAACATAGCTAGATTTGAATAAAAGTAGTGGCTCCGAGATTTAAAAAAAATTGTGAAAACAATTGCTGTAACGCGATGAACGGCACATATATATTTCCATTGATCTTTCATATCTCTCTAAATGTCAATACAATTTGTTTTTGCAAAATACACTCCACTAAATCCTAACACTTAATATCCTAAAAGTAATTAATTATTTTGAGAACTTTCACCTAAATTTTGATAAACCATAGCTCAATATCCCCTGTGCCGAAATTGTAACGCGAGTGACGACTTAAGTTTGATTTGTATTCAATAAGTTATAAGCATTTGATTGCAAATGGTTCGTAGAATGTAATTGGGCTTTTAATCGTAAAATTTTACTTCGAATGTAACGCGAGTGACGATGGAATCACATACATATACATATCTGTATGTATGTAAAAGTGAAGTTAAGTAAAACCTTCTAAAAACAGGGGTATATTTTTTCCATATTAAAATTCCGATTTTACTCTTATTTTTTTACCACCCTAACGCAAATACTTATATTAAGTAATTGTGTAGTTACAGTACTCCTTTGCTTGAGGGCGTTGTACTTAAGTTTTTATCAATGCTTTAAATGTTGTCTGAGGGTATATACTCTTACTTAAATACAGATGTTTCTTCTTCAATACCACAGGTTCTACAATTTTCAAGTCTTTGTTGACCCCTGCGACCCTCACTTACGCCTGATAATGCTAGTGATAAGTTTTGATAACGCTAAATTCTTATTTGTTTACATATTTATTTATTAATCTATACTCATTCGTTTCATTTTTTGTTTTGTACTTTTTTTTAGGTATGCGCATGACCATGTCAACTGCATCAACGATGACGGCACGCATTCAGCGCAAAGGCTTTCGTACGCCCTCGAAACGGTATCCGGGCAAGGCGATACCTGGAAAGTTGCATTCGGTTTCACGGGTGAGTAAATTTTGTATTTTCTTTCGATTGCTTTTTGGTATCGCTCCTATATCGCCGTCATCAAATGGCCACATTGGAAATGGTGTTCTTTAAATATTCCTTTAGTTTATTCGAAGGCTTAGTTCAAAGGCTTAATAGTTAGTTGGTGTTATCTTCTAGTTTACAGTAAAAGATAATACTTAGTCAAGGTGGGAATAAAGCACGAATGAACTGCCTGCCAAAGCAAGGGAAGATACTTCTTTGACCGATGTAAAGCTTGCAGACAAACATAAACAACCAACCACTTGAATATCGCTCTCCAAGCTTCTCTTCTTTCAATTCAAATAATTGTCCAACAAATAGTTAGATTAAAATCATTTAATTTTAAATTAATGGTAATACAAAGTTTAAAAAAAATTACCTGCAAACATTCAACGAATTATTACGGCTACATCAATAGAATGCTTCCAAAAAATTGCATTGAAAAATCTGTTGGGGAAAACGATGTCTGATTATTTGAATTTCAATTTGGTGTCTTTCGTGAGTCGTTCATCCTTGGTTTTCGTTTACGATGATTTCGTACTTTTTGTCTGTCTATATGATTCTCTATATAGCTTCTGGACGTAATCTAAAAAAAAATAGTGAGTCAAGATATATTAATTCTTTTAATGAATTCATGTTTAGTCGAATATTGTTTTCCATTCATTTTGTGTTAACAGAGCAAGGCGCTCAATCAACTTCACATTGCCTTAGCTGCGTGCTTAGGAGCATTTCCAACATAAAGGCCCTAAATAAAATACAGGTAACCTTGGGAAAATCCGCTTTTAAGAATGTCATTATATGCTGTTGCGATGACATTGTCACATAGGGTGTAATTCCACCTTGTACCACAACACCACCAACCCGAATATGTAAGTGATCTTGGGTAATAGTTTATTTTCAATACTCAGCTGTAGCAAACTATAGTTCGCTGTTTATTTAATATCCGCGTTATTAGTTTGTGTTGTGTAAATTTGTTAAGTTCATTCATTTACATTAATTCGTATTCTTTATTCCAGATTGGTCCCGGTAAAATGGTTCCCGGTAAACGGTTACCCCAACGGCCGCATCCACCACCCTGCGATAATTCTAATGACAGTGGTTTTGGATTTGATCAGCATCTTGAAGTGCAACAGCAGCAGCAACAACAACAACAGCAAATGCAAGCGCAACATCATCAGCACATGGCCAGTGGTGGCACTGGTGGTAGTAGCAGTAGTAGTAGTTGTAGTAGTAACAGCGGTAGCGTTAGCCCAGGTAGCGGTAGTGATCTTATGCAAAGCAACAACACTGCCACCAACCTTAGCATTGGTAATAGCAACAACAACAACAATAACGGTCATCATCATGCTAGCCACCATCATCATCATCATCATCATGGACATGGACATCACAGCTCGGCGTCAATGCAACATGCGACGCAGCTCATTCGTGCCATACCGGCCTCAAGGTATGTAAACCAAGAGAAATTATTACAAAATTCAAGGTTTTTTTTTTATTAAATTACACCGTGCGACAGTCAATTTTACACACGAAAAAAATTAATATATTCACAAAACTGGGGGCCAAATATAGGAAAAATGCGTTTTTAGTTTTCTCTCTGACGTCAGGATTTTTTTTTTTAAAGGACTTTTAAAATATGATTGAATAAAAAAATTATTCAACAGATTCGGTGCATTGTAGAATAACAATATGGGTATCAATTAAAAGGAAAAATTCTGTAGAATAGAAAAAAAAATTAATTTTTGGGTGCACCAGGACGAATAGGTATTGAAAATGTCCTTTTAAAACTTTATCCTTGATATCCTTGGAAATTTCCAATATTTATTTTTGAAAAAATTATATGTCAAGGACTAATATGTTAACTACCACATCCTCGAATTTCGTCCTTCTAACTTTATTAGCTTTAGTTAAAAAAAAAAAATGTTACACTTCTCTTAATAAGATATTGATAGTTACAATATACATAAATGAAGATACTGGAATCATTATTATGGAACCATGTATGCGCTCTAAAAGAACAAACTGAACATATGATGTACGGTTTGAGTACTTTAATTATTTTGTATACAAAGGCGTAGACAGCCTTTCACTTAGGGGGCCAGGAGTTTATATAGAGGCAAAAAATGTTTTTAGTTACATTCTTTTTGTGTATATAAATAGAAATTTTTTGGTTTAAGAAAGTATAAGTTTTCTGGAATCCTTTACAACGATACCAATTCTTTAAAAATCGGCTTGTAGTTTTTTTGTTTAAAATATTTTTTTTGTGAAAAAAGTATTTTTTTGATTTCAAGTGTTTTTTCTCAAATTTTTATATACGAAGGGGGTTTAATCGACTTTACAACGATACCACTTTTTAAAAATCGGTTTTTAATTTTTTGTTTAAAATATTTTATTATAAAAAAAATTTATTTTTTTCCTTTAAGTGTTTTTTCTCAAATTTTGATATACGAAGTATACAAATACGCATATCAGAAGAAAGGAGGTTTGATTCCGTTTACAACGATAACAATTTTTTAAAAATCGGTTAGTAATTTTTTCGGTTAAATAATTATTTTTTTTTTAAGTATTTTTTTCTCTTAAATGTTTTTTCTAAAATTTTTACATACGAAGTATACAAATATGCTTATTAGAAGAAAGGGGGTTTAATCATGTTTACAACGATACCAATTTTTAAAAATCAGTTCAAAATTGTTTGAAATATAAGGTTTTTAATTTTTAGAAGACCCGACCTTATAGCACCTGTAATATAAGTTTGCATAAAATAAGGTTATGTACCATTTAAATAAGAGCAATAGACGGACTACGTCTATATTTTTAGTTATTTACATACAAATAATAATAAAAATAAATTTTTTACCAAAGGCCCTATTTCGAACTTCGATTTCGGAGGCTAACTTCGACCAACGGAGATTTTTTTTTTACCTATGAGTCAATTTCTTAAATTAAATTTAAAAAAAATGGTTTGGTGCAATACCCCGCCGAGTGCTGTACAGTGTAATGATTCCAGTATCTTCATTTATGAGTATTGTAACTATCAATACCTTATGAAGAGAAGTGTAGAATTTTTTTTATCTAAAACTAATAAAGGTAGAAGGACGAAATTCTAGGATGTGGTAGTTTACATATTAGTCCTTGATATATACTTTTTTTAAAAATGAATATTGGAAATTTCCAAGGATATTCAAGGATAAAGTTTTAAAAGCAACATTTTCAATACTTATTCGTCCAGGTGCCCCAAAAAATTATTATTATTTTTTTAATTCTACAGAATTTTTCCTTTTAGTTGATACTCATATTGTTACTCTACATTGCACCAAATCTTTTAAATAGTTTTTTTATTCAATCATATCCCAGAAATTTCAAAGTCCTTTAAAAAAATCCTGACGTCAGAGAGAAAAATTAAAAACGCAGTTTTACTATGTTTATTTGGCTCCTAGTTTTGTGAATATATTGATTTTTTCGTGATTTTTTTTTTTAATTTTGGTTTTTGTTGCACGGTGTTATGTTTGTAAGCTCATCCATGCTCATACCTACACGAACTCTCTTTCTCGTTCGCATGCTCCAGCATTAAGTGTCTGCTGAATTTTGTAAATTTAAATTTTTTCATCTAAGCAAATATACATACTTAAATTGCCATAATTAATTATTCACTTCTTTGGGAGTTTGCTTAAGCTCACCTTACGTTCGCCTTTATTGTTTTGCGAAAATACATAATTTTGTTTTTTTTTTTAATTGATTGCCATTTCCAGTGTTGGCCATTTTAAGCAGAGAATTCATTAATTTATTCCTTTATTTGTTGTTTTCACTTACTTATTGGTTTCGTTTGGGTTTTGCAAGACCTACGATTTACGGATTTGTTTTTGCTTTCGCAAATTACACTGCCGTGTCTGCTAAATGTTCTCGGCTGTCTGTTTTATTCTTGTTAGGTTTTCATTATGTAATTTTGGGTTTTGTGTACATACTACAGATGGTAGCGCTGCTTGGTAAATACCGTTAAAATATTAGCTTTTTATAATATTTTACTAAATTCTAGACTAGTCTAGTATTTATGTACTAAATTTTTCTTATTTTTATAAAAATATTGTTCATTCATCAGCATAAACCACTTGAACCAATTTTTTTAATTTCAGACAGAACTCAGAGAAACTCAAAAGATTTTTATCGAAATTTTCAACTTTTCCATTCGGCTTCATAGGAAAAAAAATTAATTCTGAAAATTGCATATGACGATTGATAAAATTAAAATCCAAAGATACAAATAAAGCAAATTTTAGCCGTTAAATATATATATATTTTTTTATTATAAAGATTATAACCGTTACGGTTCCTAGAAAAAAACAGTTGAGAATGCGTCGATATGAAAATAATGTACTATTTACGATCTCATATCAAGTGCTGAAGTACCCAACATCAATCGAGTGTGGCTCTCTTTTGCCAGCCTATTGAGCCTAACCTGCCAATCTTATATTGAACTGGCACTTGTGGCGGGAGACAGTCGATACACGTGACTCTCCTATCTTAGCCCTTTAAATCAATAATGAGTAACCCTCACATTGAGTATTGAAATCTTCTAGCTGTTATGTACATAGTGTAAGTTGATATAGCAATTCGTTATTATCAGCTCCAAAAACTAAGCGCTGTAAGGGTAATTTCATTACATTTGTAGCCATGTGTACATGTGGTAAAAGTGCTTCAATCGTTGCCCTGCCACTTTTGTCAACAAAGAACTTTCTAAACTATCTGTTGATAAGAATAATGATTTTGCTTTTGATTTGCACATCAATTGTAAGTCCAAATACTCTTTAACGGCAAGTCGATAGATAATTTAGCTCGACGTAAGTGAGTGTACGCGTAGTATAAGTAGCAATCTGTATGATTGTAGGTCATGGTGACAATAGAATACATATAGGTTTTTTCAGCAGGTTTTTCATGTATAAACGCTTGCATGGGTGGGTTGAAAAAATGCATACAAGTTTACTACTAACTGCATGCAATTACGTTGTTTGAAAACAAAATGTATTTGTGCATATGTAAAGGGTTATCCATTTTGTGTTTCCGAAAGTAAACGTTTCTATACGAAAAAAATTCGAACTGATTTTTTTATGAATATTTTTATCCATTATAAAGGTTAGACATTGGTAAGTATGTACACATGTACATACATTGTTTTTTTATTTATTATTATTTTTTTTGTACATGCCGGTTTCCAAACCGGTTTCCACCGGTATTTTTCCAGTATCGAATAAACCGGATTTTTTATCGAAAAAGTCAGTTTTCTTTCATTTCAAAAGCAACTTGACTTCTCAATCAAAATTTTTAGTTTTTAGAAGTTACCAAGGCTTTCCCCAGATTAAGGCAACCCCTAAATGGAGAGATGTACACTTTTACTCCAGCTCCAAAGAAGTACACTCGGAGGTTTGCCTTTTCTTTGATGTTTCTGGGACCAAAAATTGAACCATGGACCTCCCGAGTAGTAGTAGGCATATCTAAGCACTGGGCTACGGCGGCAAGAGCGCTATTCAAATCCGAAAATAGTCAATAAAAACGCCATAAACTATTAAAAAAAAGTTAAAATAAGACCAAATCTGAATTTTTTATTGATTTTCGTTTTCATTTTGATTAAAAAAAAATATATTTAAACTTTCATATTTTACTTTGCTCTTTTCTAAATAAAAGCTATCTTTTTTACAAGCTTTTATTTAACTTGCTCTGTATGTATGTATGTATATATGTTTGTATGTACGTATGGTTTTTAGGGGCAAATCCTGCAATCAATTTTGGCCCGATGGCCTAGAGACGTGAAACTTCACAGTTGGCTCAGAACCTGCTGACAATGCAATACGAAAGATGAATTAATCCGATAGATGGCGCAGGAGTCGGGATATTTGAGAAACCCGTATTTATGCCTGAAAGGTCTGAATTTCCCAATTTGTCTGCTGAAAAGTTAAAAGAAGCAACAAAATTGTAAACTGCCTTTTGTTTCCGCTCTTTATTGAGTTCTCCACTCGAAAGAGTAAATAGTTCACTACTTATAGTATCAAGAATACCTACTAAAAATACCGTTTTCTCCAGAAATCGCGAAAAATCTCAACACGAAATTGACGAATTAAAAGAAAAACTTATTTTGTACATTTTTACTAGCCAAAATTTAAAAAAATTCCAAATTTCATGAAAAGAGTGTGTTAAAGATTATGTCAGAAGTAACTTCATATGTATTTTTCTCAAAAAAAAAATAAAATAAAGGTAAATAAATGAAAAGCACCAAAGGTACTTCCTTTTTCTTTATTTTCTATATAAGGGTTAATTTTTTAGATGTTTACTTACATAAATATGTTAGTTCGAGTATAGTTAAAAAGCAACAGTTTTCTTTATCAAAATGTCGGGGACAAAAAGTTTATCTTTGTAAGTACGAAAAACGACTTTTTGCCCAAAGTGCAGTTGTGTGGA